TGAAAAATCTCTCTTCAGTACAAAGGTTGGAATTTTAAAGAAAAGGGAACATTAAGGTTGGAAATACTAACGCCTGTACGTTAGACATTAAAAAACTGTTGGATTTTCTAAAACGGCAGCTAATTAGTACTTAGTGTGTTAAATTAATGCGTGAATGCTGCAATACGCTATTAAAAATAAGAAGCGATGCACACTTTTACACATTTTCAGTTTGTAAATATGCAGGAGTCTTGCTCTGCACCTGAGTCCTAATGCTCAGCAATTTCTATGAAAGAGTTATTATCAAAAGAATATTGATTTCAGCGTCCTCTCATTTATCTGAACCGCCTCACTGTTTTCAAAGAGAAACATGCATATCCATCCATCACTTATCCCAGCTCACCTGAAGTATACATTGATTTATGATAATCCTAACAGCAATTGCAAACGCAAACTAATTATTGAGAACCCTAAACACGCTTTGATCAGTTAATATATCTCATAATCTTTAGAGAGCTTATATACATCTGTTTTTCATGCAAGGCAACAACTGAACAAGTAGGTTTTATTACAGCAGTGGGATGTTCAGAGTTCAGCTCTGCGTTCAACAGGCTGTTGTTTAAAAACCAAATATATCAGCAGGTCATGGAATGAAATGGAAAATACATTTATGAATGAATGAATGAACATTTACATGATCTGCATCACTTTGTTTATTATGTCGGTTGTTGTCGTGAATGGTCTGTAGAGGAGAGTGGTTCAATCCAAACAGTATTGATACCAACGCTGGTATTGATATCTGATTGATCATAGTGTGATAGGATCGATGCTTTGATTCTCTCCTCTAAGTTCAGTATGTAGGACAGCATTTTCTCCTCTCCAGGCAATCGTGGCCCGGTCGTTGTGCCCTTGGGCAAGACACTTCACCCGCTGGCTACTGGTGGTGGTCAGTTGTCTGGCAGCCTCGCTTCTGTCAGTGCACCCCAGGATGGCTGTGGCTACAATGTAGCTTGCCATCTCCAGTGTGTGAATATGTGTGTGGATGACTGAATGTGTAAAGCACTATACAAATACAGGCCATTTACCATTTAGCAAAGGATGGTCACAGTCGATCCTAAAGTAGCAAATAAAGAAAGCACTAGAAGCAATGGAAACCGGTCCATGTATTTGGAACACACACAAAAAAACAGTGCTTTATATCTTCAAAATAGACGTCAGTGTTTCCGTTCACCTGCTGTTTTTTGAGGGCCATGAGTCATTTATCACGTGTTAGGGTTAAATGAGATGTT